TGTGAAGCTCATGCAAAGATTTTTCTACCCTGTTTTATTGCTCTGGTCCCTGTTCTCACAGCCCCTCAGATCTCTGCACAGTGCTAAAGTACTTGTTAGTGGTGAGTGACCTGCTATAAAGATTGTGTAGTTAGCTCTAATTTTATGACTGAAACCTCTTTTCTTTCTAGCTGATATTTTAAAAATACTGTACCCACAAAAATTGGATAGGTTTTGAAAATGAAGTTTATATTTTGTGAACTACTTGGCTTAGAAACAAGGATACAGAACTAGTAAATCTTTATTGTTGATTATGAAATGCTTTATCAGGAGAAATCACTATTTAATTTGAAAACATTCTTAGTATTATTTAAAAATACCTGCATTTGAACTTTAAAAGCAGAGAAATATTTCTATTACCCAGAGAAACTTTCAAACCTTCATCATAATTGAAATAACATCTATTAAAATGTGGCTAGTTTCAGTAGTTGGAGATGTACTGCACTGCATTCACCTCAGATTTGTAATTTAAGGTTAAGGTTTAAAGATAAAGGGGAAGGGAGAGATGGCACCAGTCCACCCTTGTTTATCTTGTTTAAGCAATTTTTGTCCTAGCCCAGACCAATGACTTTTTCTCTCCAAACCACTGTTTCGAAAGAGGAACTCCATATTGCATAAGGACTCTCTACATTTGACTTTACCTTAAGTCATCTGGAGAAATGCCGCTTTATCAGAATTTTAACCCTTGCCAATGACAAAGCCTCCGTGCAAAGACATTACTTTTGCCAAACTGCAGTCTCTTAATCTAGGCTACTTCTCATATGCTCAGGTGCAAAGCAAAACTACTGTTACCTGACTTTCTACACCATTTTTATAGTAGTGTACTAAGCTTGGTACTTTGCACTATCCTTTCCTGATTGTAACAGCTGAGGTTGTGCTGGCTACCTTCTCAGTCTCGGAAAGATTAAGGTTTCTGTTTCAGCTGTGATCTGTTTAAACATTTTTTTTCCATGTCTTTCACTAACTTTGGTTTCCACAGACACCACGTGTAGGTCTCACAGTAATAAGCTATTAAGCACTGCAGAACTATAGAGAAAGACCGAAGAACATCATTACCAAAACAGCTTCAAGGGGAAAAGAATTATAACCAGTCCAAAAGCAAGATCCGTATACAGTCTGTTGCTCATCTTTCTCCATTGATGCCATAATTTAATTTGCTCTCTGCTAACCACAGTGACCACCAGGGGAGTAGTGATCTGCCTTCTTAATACTACCAGAGTTGAAAGAAGTTTTGGCAGTGTCCTGGTTTCAGGAGGGATAGAATTAATCTTTCTTCTTAGTAGCTAGATTAATGCTGTGTTTTGGATTCAATATGGGATTTGGTACGAGAAGAATGCTGCTAATACACTGATGTTTTCAGTTGTTGCTAAGAGATCAAGGATTCTCTAACTACCCATGTCCTGCCTGTGCGCAGGTACGCAAGAAGCTGAGAGGGAGCAGAGCCAGAGCAATGGATCCAAACTGGCCAATGAAATATTCCATATCATGTCATGTCATGCTCGGTATATAAAGGAGGGGTGGCCAGGAAGGAGGGGGTTCTCTCTTGCTTCCAGGATTATGGTTTCAGGATATTGGTTTTTGGGATTGCTAGCCAGGAATGGGCTGGGTATCAGCGGGTGGTGAGTAATCCCATTGTGCATTACCCATTTGTACTTTCTCTTATTGTTTTTGTTTTACTTTTTTTTTTTCAATTATTTAACTGGTTTTATCTCAACCTTTAAGTTTCTCTTTACCACTACATCCTCAATCCCCTGGGTGGGGGAGAGTGAGCAAGCAGCTGCCTGGTGTTTAGGTGCTGGCTGGATTTAAACCATGACAGGCAAAAATCCCCCAGATCTAGATTTCTATTCTTAAAAAATTCAAAGAACCCCAGTGCCTGTCCCCTTCTTTTTCCATGTCACATTAATTTTTGTGAAATTCCCAACCATGCAGTAATAGCCAAGATAACTGTCTGGGCAGAAGCCAGCAATTAAGAGCACTGCAGACGTTGGCCTTGCAGTGCATCTGTGATCAGGAGACCTGCAAGTGAGACAGCCAACCTCTTGTTGACAGAAGGCTACTGCAGAAGCTTCAGACTTTAGTATCCAAACAGCTCTCAGTAGAGAAACATTTTGACATTACCTCATTTTCTAGATACTTTCAGAAAGGGCACACAGGGACAATGGCATTCAAACGCTGGGTTCAATGACACTTTTTTTTTTCCAGAGCAGCACGCACTGTTGCAACACTGGTGAATTACACACCATGGTCTAAAGCCTTCCAGCTCCTCTACAAAATTGATAGCGAGATGTTTAAGCTGCATGGCTAAACTTCTCTGGAAATGTTAAGGAAAAAATCCCATGCAAGTTTTCAGCAAATGTTACTGAGCTTTTGAAAAACATCGATGGCTTGGGTGATGCTCTGAGCTTTTCACATACGGCTAGGATGTCACGCTGCGACCGTGACGTCAGCACAGTCCTGACATGGGAGCTCTTGCCCACGCAGCCTGACTCAGTATTTAGTTCTGTAGTTTTCCTACTCCTTCAAAAAAAGATATCTGGGACATCATGGTGCCAAGTGTCATTCTGCTTCCAAGCTGAAGCATATGTACCAAACACTTCCTTTTTAGTGATAGCTTGCCGACTAACTCATCAGTGTCTCTACTGTGCATCTACTATATGCAGGGAGATTTTCAGACAAAGTGGAAACATAGCTACCAAGGCTGGCTAATAATTCTTGTGATAAATCTCTTCAGAACATCATGACATAAAAGTCTAAGGCCTCTGTCACTATGGATATTTAGAAGGTGAAGTGCTTGAGCCTAGACTTTACCTGGTATTTTAAGCAAACCCCTCCTTAAACTCAAATGGAAGTATGCAGAATCAACCCTACACATTTGGATCAGAACCTGCCCACCTGGCCACAGAAATACAAGTGAAAATTATCACCCAAATATTGTTAATTCACATTAATCCCCTTCTCAAGGGAAAATAAGCTTCTCTGCAGCTGATGGAGTCTCCTAGAGCACCCCAGGACAAGAATGATGGGCTGCATCTCCAGCCAATGCTGCCTAATGAAAAAATCTCGGGGGTATAGCAATATGTGCAGCATCTATCTGTGACAGTGTTGTTCACTCCTAAGCTAAGGTATGAGCACCAAGATCAGGTAAGCAGCAGTGACCTAGTTACCTGCTGAGACTCACCACGCTGTGCTCACTGCATGCATCTGCTGAGCTGTACCCTCAGCTAGAAGGATGATGACACAGTAACATCAAACCAGGCAGCAAAGCTGAAACTAGGTCCACAGCCCTCATCTGCCACTGTCTGCAGTGGGCCAGCAGTGACCACTTACACTCGGCAGCTGTACTTTGCAGCAAGAAAGACTGGCAGCAAGTAAGCACCTCACTCAGCTGAGGTTTTGCCTATACTGCAGAATGCAACTGAAACAAGTGTAGGCTAACCTACAGCAAACCTAATCTAACAAGTTTATCTCGCAAGTCCAGCAGCGCTAGCAGGGAAGATGGAGGAGGACAGACTTTGGCCCAGGCCAGCGACATGAGCACAAATGCAGGAAACCCAGCAGGTTGTACATCCTGTTACACAGCATCACCATGGCTATTCTTAGCTGCACTAGCCGGTGTGAGGGAAACATTGGGATGCCGACCAACACTGCGACTAGAAACAGAGCTTGGGTGACAGGAGGGGGGATTACAAAAAAAAAAAAAAAAAAAAAAGAAGATAACATGAAATACGTGTATATATAAACACCAACCAAAGTTTTGCTGGCAAGGATTTCATGCCAGGTTTGGGATGCTAGCACGGATCAGACTGAGAAGAAGGGTCCTGCTGAAAGCGTTCGCTTGCCTGGAGTCAGACACAGCTCCACTCCCAACCTGCCCTTCCCCTGTGACACTCAGCTCCTCTGATAGAAAAGCAGCAAAAAGTTGTTCTGGGAGCTGGATCCAGTCCTTGAGGTGGCCAGGCAACCATCCAGGGTAGGAGGTCTAGGGATGGTATGGGTAAAGGTACGTGTAAAAGGAAAAGTAAGCGATGGACCTGAAGCTTCCCTTCCCATCCTGTTAATTAAAAACTCCCACACTAGTATGTCTTACAAAGGTTGTTCATATTAAGTTTAAATCACATCTTTTCATGATGAGGTAGAAGTAGCTTTGGAAAATGGCAAAACTCAAGCTCACGTGCAATGCTTACAGTACAACCAAACATACCCTCCTGCATATATAACTAATAATATAGAATCATTTTTCTCTCTTGAAGCAGAGAAAAGCAACTGCTGAAGCTGCAACAGTAAAGGGTTCCAAAATGAACTCATCATTACAAGCTCAGGAACAGCTCAAGGCAGGTATTAGTAATGATCCTGCCCTCCTCAGTATTATTGCTGGCAGCTGTATCTTTTTCTGCAGTCAGTACTTTTCTCCCAACAAACTTCAGAAACTGCAGTGTTTCTGAATTGGAACAAATGAAGCTGAAAACCACCACAGCATCTTCTGCTCTGAAGTAGCTATCTTGCAAAGACATTGAATAGAACAGTACAAACTTCTATTAGGAAGCTTACCTCATTGACCTGTGTGTTAAGAGATTCAACCGCAGCCAATTAACAGGACAGGAAGAATTTTTTATTCTTTTCAAAGGCTGTTTTTCTTAGGAAAAAACATGCAGTAAAAAAAATGCATTTTGCATAATTAACTATTCACGATACTAGAACTGAGCAATTATTCTGTTAATTGCACCTGGAATCCAGACAGTTGGAGGCCAACATTTTACAACCCATTTATTAACCTCCTCTTCTACTTGTGCTCTTTGTACTTGTTTCTGAGGTTCTGGGAGATGATGAAAGTGCATTTCTACTAGTCAAATTTCTTCCTAGGAAGTGACATGAGAAAGAAATCCCAACTAAAAGTATTTGACATTCAAGACCTCCATTTTAATATTTAATACAACACCCACCCCACCCCCCGTATTTATTTTAAAAGAAGGCAAAAAGAAGTATCAATGAACACTAGCTATGCTGATTGTATTTTAACATTGCTCAGAAACAGGATCCAGGACGTGAAAGAAAAGAAGCCAAATTAATGCCATGTGCTTTTTGGAGACATGGATGAAAGATATTTTTCAGTATTGTGGTTTTACTCTTCAACTACTTAGATAACACCATGAATGCAAAAAAATATAAACATGAGCCTACTAAAACATGGTACTGTATCTCACAGGCAGCTAACCACACAAAGCAAAGGTCATAAGGAATAATTGGACCTCCTGTTATCAGCAAAGCCACGTTTGATTTGGAAAATTGTCAAGACTGGCTTTAGCTCAGGCAAATGGAGCATCTACTTCTTTCGGTCCAGCAGAGAAAGAAAAAAACTAAGTTACTACAGAGCTGAACAACTTAAATGCATACCTAAAAAGGGCGTAACTGATGCTATGCTATGAAACTAAAATAGTCAGAGCACATTTATATGCTTTTAAATATAGTTAGCAGTATTTCCCATTGCCCTCCACATGTAACTCAGAACATCTAGCTACAAAATTCACCCCCTCTGTCCCCCCGGTCTCTCCATAGCTGAAGAGATTAGAAAGCCCAGTCAAAGCAGGGGGCAGGGGAAGGAGAATGGCAAGAATCTTTATCCCTCCTCCCCAGACTCCACTAGGCAGTGTTTAATAAATTCAGATGGCCCCATTTCTGAAGCAAACAGCAATATCAGTTTAGCTAAACTTGTTAATAAGTCTTAGGACACTTAGTGGGCTTTTTTCTTTCTTTTTGGAGAATGGGAAAAAGGAACAAATCCTGAAATTGTAACAAACTGAGAGTATTTCTGCAGCAAATTTAGAAACACCACAGTACTCCTGATTTTAATATATCCATAAAATCCAGGTACTTTCATTCTTTCTTCAAAAGCCAGGCTGTACTGGCAGAAGCTCTGGACTCACTCCTGCAATAATTCCTTGCATGCAAGTAACTACTCGTCAGCCCGATGAAACTATTCATGAATACAGAAATTTACAGGACTGAGGCCTTGCCATGACTTTTTAGGAGTCACAAGCCGGGGCTAGTTTTGTCTTTTACATAACTATGTGTATATCCGTACCAAATACCATGATGCAGCAATAACAGATATTACTGAAAGTCTAGAGTGGATTTTGAAAGCAATCGAGCTAAAATTATAAGGGCTTCCACAGAAGCAATTTACTCTGCTAACAAATAAAGCCTCACGGTACTGTGGCTAGCCCACTGAGTGTCTGAATTAGTTCTGCACTGCACCTTGGGTGCAGATATAATCTAAGAAGTGATCCAATATATTATGTTTCAGGATGAGACATGTACTAAGTGTAAAATATTTCACCCAATGATGTTTGGTACACATTTAATCAGAAGCAAAAACAATCCAGACACTGAAATACAAACTTAGTTTTCCTTAAAATCGGTGTTCCATATTTTTTTATTTTAAAAATTCAGGAATGTGATACACAATACAATTAGCTCCCCACCACTGCAGTGTTCACTTACATGAGATTCACTAGTTTCATGCTTTGTGGAAAAAAAAAAAACAACAAAAAAAACCCAACAGACTGCGCAGTGTTTTTGAATGCTCCCAGTATTCTGGAACTGTGATCTTCAGAACAAACCAAGTCTGTGTAACCACAGAGAGGTTAAAAAAACTGAAGCTATATTGCAAGCTAGCAGGCTACAGTTGGGTCTCATACAGCCAGAACAAACACGAAAATTGATTTCCTGCTGCTGTACAGCCACCACCTTGACCTGACTATACGCTTCCAGGGGATTTACCATCCAGGGCTAAAGTGACTAAAGGGCCCTGTTAACACCAGCTGGTGCTGCACATGAAACACAACACATGACAGAGAGGCCATGCAACTCCCCCTTTGGCCCCCATCATCATCATCGTCGTTACATCTGCATCCTGTCCTGATAATAAAAATAATGTGTGGGAGAGATTTTTGTTCTTTAAGCTAGCCATTGCCTGCAATGGACACAGAAATAGAAAAATATGACTTCTGGCACACACACAGAAAGATTAAATAGTTACAATGGAATTAGTGACTACAACTCCATCTATTCAGATGCATTTACTGAGACTCTTAACCAATGGTGGCAACTGTCAAGACTTAATAGTTGCTCTGTTTTTGTAAGAGCAACAGGAGAGAAGGAAGTCAGGCTTCTCAGTGCTACTATGGTTTGTCTTGGTGCTTTTTGTTTGTTTTTTTTAAACTAAAGAGCAGCAGTCCTATGGTGCATTAGTGATGTACAGCAGGACCTCAACAATTCATACTAATGACTGAGACCAATTTTAAACTAGTAAGCAAAATAATTAGTGAAAGTTTACCATAATAAGCAAGGATACACATTTCAAAAGAAAAAAAAAGTACTTTGTTCATTTCAAAATTTACTTGGTTAATACTTTGTAGTATACTAGCAGTGGTAGCATATTCTGCAAATGTAGTCTCATACAAGATCTCATTTAACAGTCAACTCTAGATCATATACAGGTAACAGAAGAAACAGTTAAGGTAATTCAGACAAAACAAAAACATACATAAATACTATATTAACATATTTAAGTTAGTTTATGAGACTATACAACAAGCATAAACACAGAAAAAAGGTGAGCGATGCTGATGGCTGCGAAGCACCAACATCCCCAAGCTAGCGCAAAGCTGAACCGACCCATCCACACCCCGCAGCTTCCTGAGGATGCATCTGAGCAGCCACGAGGCAAAACAACTGCACGGCACTGCGCTGCACCCAGGCTAACAAACCCTGTGAGAGGGGGCTCACATGAAACTGGACTGAGCTCCTCTACTTTTCCAATGCTTTGGCACGCAGCATTTGGCCAGCGCGCTGGCACACGATACAGAGCTCGTCTGGCCCTGTGGACGGCACAGTTAATACACAACACTGGTAATCCACCCATGGACGATCGAGAGTTGACTGCAATGCTCTGCTGAGAAGTTGAGCAAGACCACTGACAGGACCTGGGCCAACCCAGGTCCACCAAGCAGCAGACTATTTTGAACTACTTAGGAGCAATTATCATACGAGACACATTAGAAATGCAAACTAGCGAGGTGTTCTGCATCCTGAGGCACAGCTACATTCCCTTCACTAACAAAACATTCTTTTTTTAAAAAAATCTACATTTAAATACTGTTAAATACCTGAAAACCACAGCATTGAAGCATTTCATAAGGCCAAATCTATCCTCAGTTCCCTCTGTTGTGCCTAGGTATTGCAATACATTTGTAGAAGTAGCAAATACCATGTCATTTAGTATCTTATACTCCTCCCAGTGCCTCCCAGTAACAGATCTCAGGGCTCTTTGCACAAGAGTTAAGCCTCACAACACCCCTGTGAGGTAGGTATTATCCCCATTGTAAGACAGGGAAACTGAGGCAGAGTGTTTATCATGTCCAGAGTCATGGATCAAACAATGGACGATCTCAGCTGTTTTCCAGTTTTAAGCATAGGAGTAGTCAATTAAATCACAAAACATTACTTCCTATCCATAACTTTGCAGGTGGATCGAAAGAGTCAGGGGTTTTAGATTAGATTTCTTTTGTGTTTTATCTTCACCTCTCACCTAGTCTCTGCCAAATTCACAGTTCATAGACCAGTTTCTCCTTTACTAAGGTGTAAGTTGGCAGCATACTGTAACAGCTTCTTTAGAGCCAGTAGTCAATTAACTGAGGGACACTTTACACCACAGATTTGGATGCTTAATAAGTGAAATTGTGTGATACATAAACATCTCAAAGTGTGAAATACAGTGAATGAAATCCTACTCCCTGCCCCGCTTCCTGCAAAGTCAGCAGAAGACTCCTGAGGACATGGCAGGGACCAGGACTGCAGTCACTGCAAGTGCGTACAGACACACTCAACTACAAACAAAATGCACCACTGGATTACTTGCTACGGAGGCTACTACCTATGCTTAAAAGCATGACTTATACAGTTGGTGCCTGGCACACTGTCCCCTCCAGAGCACTTATTGACATAACTAATTCTTTTATCTTAGTAAACTGAGAATTAGTTAAAAATGAAGCTCCAGCTCTTCATTCACAGCACTGTGAGTCAAGGATTCTTTAAACTTCCAAGACTTTTATGACCAGACACAACTTGGAAACGAGGAAAAACACCAGAAAATTCATAAAATATGAAAGTATGCATTACTTTATCACTCAGTCTCATGTCTTGATCACAGAGCAGCATACAGTAGCTTGAACTTCCATTCTGATAGAAAAAAAAACCCTTTCACATCTGATATTTTCACAAGCAGTTGATTCTAATTACCTCGCTACCTTACCAGAAAAAGTGAGGATGGTTTCTAACAATCACAAGATGTTCTCTTTAAAATATGCTATATGATAAATTCATTAGAAAAGCCTTCACATTTATTATTATATAAGTTTTAAGAAAAATATGTGAAACTGCAAAGTGGTTTCCAGTTTTAAGTAGTTATATCTTTAAAAATGTCCTACGAGCTTTGGTTTCCTTAGGGCTTCTAAATAAACAATATATTAAAATATCTACAAATCAAATATTAAAGGAAAGAGTAGGTCCAAGAAATCTGTAACACAAATTGAGTTCCTACATGCTTATCCCTCAAATACCTTTTCACTGGAAAAAATATTTTAATTTGAAGCACAGCAAAAAGTGTCTCTGCTGAAATGCTGAAACTGGTTTTCTGAAGTTGTTACAGCATTGGTGCACTTTCTGTCTGTCTCGGTAAAAGTCAACACAAACACATTGTATCATGACAGTGACATTATGTTCTTTAAAACAAGCATCCTAGATTTAGCAATATGACAAGAACAAGGACTTCAGCAATTACACTACTTGGCAAAATTGCATCTCAAACGTCTGTCTCTTCCTCTTGCAATACAGCTGTTGTCAGTCACCAAAACTCAGGTAGCACCATTCAGGGAGTTACAAAGATGATTCAAACTGCTCATTTTGATCAGCGTTTGCCTCTAGCTTAACTGAAGGGATGCTCTCCGACTTAGTCCTCCTAGTTTTTGGAAATTCAATGACAACTTCTGAACAAGAGATACTAAGCGACGAAGATTTTTCTGTCTTCTTTGCAGTACTATCTTCTCCTGTTCCGCAACACTGCTTCAAAGCACACTGAGTCCTGCACGGAAACTCACATTTTCCTCTCCCTGATTCAGAGCCAACGCTGGCAAACTCAGGCTGAATGGTAGTTGCATGAATCCCTTCGTCATGAAAGATCTCTTTTATGCGCTTTGCCACCATCATGTACGTGGAAGGATCAGGACACTTTATGTGAGCAGTACCAATGATCCTACTGCCTGCTAGCTGCCAAATGTGTAACTCATGGACTGCTTCAACTCCTTCAAGGGTACGTAATTTTGAGTTCAAAGAATGAACATCTATTTGTTTGGGAACAGTCTGCAGAAGTATAAGCGCTGACTCCCTAAGTAATGGGTAAGTTGTGTAAAGGAGTATACAAACCATGATCAAACAAAGGATGGGATCTAAATATAGCAACCAGCATGGACCAGCCACTGTAATGCTCTCTTGCTCGGACTTGTTTGCTCCGCCAAGCGTTTGGGATAAAGTAGCATTTTCCATGCAATGATTATTGACGCATGGATTAAAGCAGGGCCCATCTTTGGGGCACGGATTCCACAACCCATAAAAAAGCAAGGCATTCAATACCACAATTACGGAACCTAAGGCATCTCCAAAAACATGCAGAAAAACTCCACGCATGTTAAGCTGCGCACTAGAGTCTTCTTCAACCTCCTCTACATCCAGAGGATAATGACCAGCGTTCCCATTCACTTGTAGGTCAGCCATGTCATCTTTCATATCACCTGACAAGAAAACAGCAAAAAGATTAGGCATAGCAATACTACATATTACTCTAATTCCATACAAAATAATAACCAACATTAAGCTTGCCACATTGAGCACAAAACTGAAAAGCAAGCAACTCTACCCATAACACTCAAACATTTTCTCTGGTTAAGAAATATCCAGCTGTCCCAATAAGTGATCTAAATAGTCTAGGTGGCAATTACTTCTACATGGAGCTTAAAGTTGTAGAGCAGCAAAGACTGAAGATGACCACACTTTCATTTTTCTACTGAAAAACTGTTTTCATGTCTTCCAGCTGTTTAACCATGTGACTACTCACTGTTCACTTCTTAAGACGAAATGCAGAATTACAGAGAATATATAAAAAAGCTGGTTAAGTATCTAATTAACCTACATTTGTTCCCTCTTTTGTAAAGCCAGAAGGCTAATCACATTCCTAAAATCTCTCTTAAACCATAGGACTGCATTGCTGCTATTTTATATTAAAATTTATGAAGCCAGAAGCTCAAAAGCTGTATGGATACTGCTTTATAGTAACTTCTTCTCAGGTTTAGTAGTTTGTTTCCAAAAGACTTCTGAATTCAAGGAAAAGGAAGTTTTTTCTGAGCTGGCGCACAGAGCCAGCAGATACAATGGAGCTGAACTTTTAGGTCTAAAATGCAGAATTTATCAGTGGTATTGAATACAGGACAGTCTAAGGTATCACTGAAACTCTCAGAGGCTATGAACTAGCGTTACTTATATTTCAGAATACATAAATCCCTTATCTTTAGTACTTTTTTTTAAGTGACATATAGCTGTTGATGCCCAAAGCCTTATGTCATGGACTGTGCAATGCATAAATGAACATTTTAGTGCCCTCTGCCAAAATTGTCTGCAACAGTACCACTCAGCTATACCTAACCAGCTATACAGGAATAAATCCACACATCATTACAAAGAATGCTTTTTGAAAGAAAAACATCTTCCAGTGTTCAAAATTGAAAGTATTTTACGTGATTAACCTCCCACTTTTCTTCAAAAGTTCTTCTTTGGACAGAAAATTTGCAGTGTTGGAGAAATGTAACAGGCACCGGCCACTGACCCAAGAAACTTAAACAAGGAGCTCATACTGCTTCTGTGGTTATTCAGTTCAGAGCTTTGTAAATATTAACATGTTAACATGACCTGCAGCTTCTGCCACTCTGCTCTCATGACTACAATTCTGTAATCATGCAGTGCCTACAAGTTCTTTTCCTTCTGAAGAAGGGGTGGGCTCCTATAAAGGCGGCTGAGCAAGTCAGTTCCATGCCCCAGGCTCAGCCTCATGCATCACACTTCTGCCCTAAAGCTCCAGCTACATTTTCCACACAATTTCTAGGAGTTATGAAATACAGGACCTGTAACTTTCCACAGAAATCAATAAATTGGAAGGAAATATCTCAGTTTACAGAGTTCAGACCCCATGGTCCACGATGAGAGCAAGGAAAGAGGAACTTTTCTGACACTCTGTTGTGTACCAAGTACTCAGAGAAGAGAGATTTGAGAAGTCAGTAGGCATATCTAGAAGAGCGGGTAACAGGAAACACGGTTCCAGAAAACTCTTGATATTTTTTTTAATGGCAAAAGGTTAAAATGTGTCCATTTGAAATATGCTCATTTAAATCTAACTATAAACCGATTACTTCACAAAAAGTATACACGCACAACGATACCTGTGCAGGACCAGCCCCTAGGGCTATCACTAGCTTGCCACTTCCACCTTAGGAAATCAACATCTACCCCTCTGGAATTTCCAGTGAAGGCATACTACCACTCTCAGTCATTGCCCTGGTCTTCACTTACACACCTTAGAGCTTCTCACAAGTCTCCAAGCACCTTCACCTGTAACAGTTCCATGGGTAAACTATTAATAACTCCATCCATTACATAATCTTGACAGGGCATAGAAGGAAATACAAACTTATTTCAAAGTTCCACTGTGACCAAAATTATGCCCTATTACCACTGAAATTCCCACAACAAATTATGTTATATGAGAAATTCCAGGAAAGTCAGAACAGTATACCTTTTAACCCATGTTATGAGTTAATCTTTTAGTCTAGAACTAGTCCAAAACCTGGCTAAAAGCACAACTTCTCACCATGTTTCACCATGCAAGAACAATTCACAAGCCAAGGTATCTATCAGATCAAGGATTAAGGGAATTTTACATTGTTTGAAACTAATTATTAGGATACCTTTGCTGAACTAAACCAACATTAAGAGCTTATTATGTGGTCAAGAAAATATTCAGAGGAGCTTTCCCATCCTCTTGCAAAACCTGTCTTTTCAAAACCAACATGGAGTCAAAATGCTGAAGAGAGAGAAAGAGAAACTGCTAAGTTTCTCACATGTGTACTGGAATCTCTGACCACAAAAAAACCCAAAACTGTAGCAAAGTTCACTCTGCTCAATTAAAGCTCAGTTTAAGCTAAAACAGCGGTCTCCTGATGTCGCCCAGAAAATAATGGACAGACATGGGTTCTGAAGACTGAAACCCCTTCCTCCTGGTAACAGGGATGCCATATGATTAAGGTAGAGAAACAGCAGTTACGCGCCTTTCACTCTGCTAGCACGCAGTAGTTGGCTTCGACCAAGTGACTTCAAAATACGCTATCCAAGCTTCTGCATCCATTAAAAAAAATAACCCAAGAAATTCCCTCCCACGATATAGGACAGTTTGATCACAATTGGGAAGGGAAGAGTTTAAATTTATCTCTTATGTGCAAGCGAGTGGGAAGGTGCACGCTTTAGAAAGCTAAAGAAAACTAATCCAAAGAAACCACGCATGTACCCTGACACCAGTGAGCTCCACATTCAGTGCCTACTGCATGACTTCCACAGTTCTGATTGGTAATTTCCAAGACTTCTTCCTATTAATATGGATGTCACGAAGAAGTACAACATTACTGCAGTGGAATATACCTCGGTATGTCATACTTAGGTTGAGGTTAGCTTCTCA